AGTGATGGGATATATCTTATTATTATATGTTGTATTATTTGATACATGTATTCTTAGTGTAAGTCAAGATACTACACGTATGTGTTTTGTTTCCATGATTACAGCGCCCATGTGACGATCAGTCCATGAAGTAGCCTACATTGTGTTAGACTCGGCCAGCTGGGGACGAGGTGGAGAACGAGGTGGAGAACGAGGTGGAGAACGAGGTGGAGAACGAGGTGGGGATGAAGTGGAGAATAAGCTGAAACAGGCAGACAACAGGCAAGGAAGAGTTGGACAAGCTTGACAGTTCCTCACGGCTGTCAGAGGCTTATAAGTTGAGTTAACCCCTTTATGTTAACCTATTTTCATCATTATCATACCACTCTAAACCCCGAGCTGTTTTTCTCGCTGAAGCTTACCACTATCATCAAATTAACCAGTCACTGTTTGTGTAAATCAACAAACTGGGAATATCATTGTTAGTAAATAAAGCTGTATGTCAAGTTTTAAACTACATAGTTTGTTAAATTCCAAATGTCTGTTCTTACATGTTTAATTAAACTGTTAAGATAGATTACCATTTGGTGGCGGCTCAAATAATATAATAATTCTTTAATTATTAATAATAACACCGGGAGAAGGTAGATGACGGAGGAATCACTTGCCCTGTCTAATAATTCATTAACATTAAGTATGATAGACATCTAAAATTCCTTGCCTTCTCTTGTGGGTACCAAGTTCAGCTAATGTTAATATACTTAACGAGCCAATATGGCTGTTTTCTTGGATATCCAGGACTTTGTCTGAGAGCAACATAGCTCAGATTTTAGTTCGGTTTATCTAGTGGAGAGAATGTGTTGAAAGGAAGATCCCTACTCAACAACATAAACATTTAAACCACGCGTCACGTCACAGCTACCAGTGCCAGACATGGTCACTCACAACAAACCATAAAAGAAAATTAGTAACCACAGAAATGAGATGTCTGAGAAGGGCTGTAGGAGTGACTATAACAGATAAAGTCAGGAATGAGATCATAAGAGAACAAGTCGGCACAGAACCAATTCTGGATTACATACAAAGACAGCAAGTGAAATGGTTTGCCCACTTAGAGAGAATGCCTTGTGACACCATACCATACAAAGCATACATGGAAAGAGAAGAAGGACGTAGAGCACGGGGTAGACCAAGAACAAGATGGAAGGATAATATCAGAGAAACTCTACAACAGCAAGATGTGCCTATGGTCGAGGCAGCCAGAAGAGCTAGAAACAGAACCTTTATCTCCCTCGACACCCACATCGGTAAAAGAGAAAGTGAAGAAGAAGAAGAAGAAGAAGTTGAAGTTCTGACACGTGTGTCCTTATAAACAAATAAACATTTATTTCGGGGAAAAGCGAGTTGAACATGTGCTCCGAGAGGAAGACAAGTACTGGCTCCGAGATAAATTACAATTTGTTCAGCCAGTAACAATTATCAACCCTTTGGTATCATCAGATTCGGGATGATTAAAACCATTTTTTTTTCGATGAGTGGTTAAATATCATCAACCCGTTAGGTACATCTACGATTGCCAAAAAAAAAAAAAAAAAAATTTACATCTCCATATCCAAACGTGTCAACAATAATAGAATTTGCTGTGCAGTTAATATACACTGTGTGGTCCAATGGTGATTGAAGCTGAATACTAACTGTTGCATATTAAGGACATGCTTACAATTAAACAAGGCAGGCAGATTGGCTGGATCTGCACCATAGGATGATGAGTTGATACATGACAAGGAAGATGTGGTCAAGTCCCGTTGGGAACAAGTGGAAGAGAAAATAGATTATCAAGGCCTGGAGAGTGTCACATAACAGCATCAACTCCCTACCACAATAGACTTGCCCACAGTCTAGACACCCCTATAATAATTGGTGAATCTATCAATTTCGGATAGTCCGTAAGTAGATATATAGTTCGTTTGTTGTTGGGGAGTCCAGCTGTGAGAAACATAGATAAATCACTCCTAAATCAATCCTTCTTGGGGTATAGTGTCAATATGTATAATACGACACGTTTTCTGTGCCTGTCCAAGCTTAATAGTTTGACTGTTTCACTGCAAGCTTGGGCCATATTATTGCCCAACTGTGGTACTTAGGGAATAGGTTTCTGTACGTCAATACTACTCAGTCCGTTCAAGTAAACAGTGTGTTTTGGCACTTGATCGTCAATAATAAAGAATATTTCTTAGATAATATTCGTCTGCATGGGTGAGTTTTCTTGAAAGGGAAATAGATACAAATATTAGTGCTCTGTGCCTGGATGTGCTTGCGAGAAAAGGTAAGAAGAATGATAACGCCGAATCTCTCTCTCTCTCTGTGTCTACGATCGCCTTCGACGTAAGGCGGCAGAAACGCTGGAGTAAATGAACTCACGGAGGAAATTTCTTCGTAAATTCTTCTAGCCTGCGTCCTTAACCTATTCGGATCAACCCATTATTGTGGATTTAATTAGCTTCAAGAAAACGTTTGATAGTTTACATAGAACATGACTATGGGGAATTTCGCAATGCTATGGTGTGCCAACAAAAATAATAAATATGGTTACGGCATTGTATGAGAGTTCAGAGTGTGCAGTGCGAGGAGACGATAGTTTAAGTGATTGGTTTAAAGCGAATACTTGAGTGCAATATGAATGCGTTTCATCTTCTCTGTTATTTGGCAAAATCATAGACTGGATGATGAAAAAATATGTTTTGTCGGAAACACTGACACTGACTGGGTGGAGAACACAGTTGGAAAGGCAGACAGATGAATTAGCAAATATAGCATCAAGGGTTGGACTACAAATAAATTAGGAAAAGACAAAATATGTAACTATAGACAAAAGTATTTAAAGTAACAGATCAATTTATTTATTTAGGTAGTAATTATAATAGGTAAAGGAAATACAATACGAAATCAGATGAATGGTAGGAACAAAGCCAGTCTTACAGGTAATCAAAGAATAACAAATGAAGTAGTTTAGACATCTAACAAAAATGACCTGGTACTATCTACCACAGCGACGCAAGCTAAAACGTTACAACGGGTATAGAGCAAGCGGAAGATCGCCGAAATATAGAGTTATGGCATTAAGAACATCCTTACAGAAATGAACATCAGTCTTAATAGTGCTTTTGACAGAGCTCACATCTCCCCCCACCCCTGACACTCCATTGAGGTACAATGTTGAAGAGAAGAACAAGCAGCAACAGAAAAAGAACAAACAAAGAAATTAATTATGACGTGCATCCTCAAAGCATCAGCAGCTTTGATTAGCTCGAATAAAGTATGGAACTCTTCACTGTAAAATGTTCAAACGAAGCTGCGTATTTTCAATTCTAATATTGTTTCAGTTTTGACATTTGTAAGTGAAAGTTGCAGAACCACTAAAGTGTCATGAAACGAAAGTTAAATGAATACGAAAACAAATTCAAGCGGGGAAAGATGAAGTGCATTTGAAAAGATTAGAGTGGCCAAAGCTGCGGGACTGGATTCCATCATTGAAACTGAACTGAGTGCACAAGATAGAACGGAACGGAGGGATACACTGCCAGACATATGTGATTTATAACGGCACAACAGGATATTCAATGAATGAATAAATGTTTTAGAAGGGGAGTCACCCTCCATTATAACAGCAAGTAATGTTACTTCTGGTGACCGATCCCTTTATAATTTGTTAACATTTCGAGGCGACTCACCAGCTTGATTTTTGTTTTAAAGCTATCCAATACTGTTTGTTTTATTTCGAAAGTGTCTACACAAATCATCATGAAAGTTAACTATAGCGATGTTCAAGTGTCAATTCTAGATGAAAACCTGCATGTGTGTCCAACTGGACAGCCTTTTCCTAATTCTAGCAGTTAGAACTGCCCGTCATCTTTTTTTCCCTTGTCTGTGGAAATGTCTCTAATTGCTTCAGCTTCTTGTTCTTTCTAAAGCTTGAGTAGATCTAGTGTTATGAGATCCTTTCTATGATCTCTCACAATCAAACAGTAGCGATCTTTTAGAAGCAAGAATTGTCATACATGTGGCGGCTTCATCTTACTTGGCAGCATCTTAAATTTTTAGTATGCTAGTTAAAGCAGTTCTTAACATATCGAATTCTTTTGTTGAACCGTTAAGACATGTATCACTTTCAGACTTAGCTATAATTGTATTTTTTATTCAGTGGTGGTTGTCACCGCTTTACTATTTTGTTCCCTTCTCTTTATGGCACTATTTGTGACCCATGGTCATCTACAGTGGTGTATTTATTATTAAAAGTCTCTGTAAAAACGTGTAAATATTAAAAAGAAATAAAGAGTCAAACAAAAATAATGCGTGCACTTTCAATCACCACCCGAGGCTAAGCCAGCTGGCAATCAGCTGACTCGCCGGCCACTTAAAACAGGAACGAATTTTGACTTTTCAGGCTACTATCAAACAAACATTTCAACAGAAATAATATTTTAAAAGAGACAAATATTGGCGTGAACGAGTACTGGAGTTCCAACGTAGTTCTTTTAAAGAGTTTCTTAGAAACAAATTCATGTACACACATATTCATCCTCCCCATGTAGCATGGTCTGGGGACGTTGTGAAATCACTGTCAGCTGAAATACGATTGATTTCCTGCAAGTTCTCCTGCATTTTATGCATAGAGAATTTTTACCTCTCGCAGTTCCAAGAAAGTAAAGCTGATGTCTGGAATAAGCCAATAATGACAACATCAATCTCAGAGGTGAACTTCAATGACAAAGGCAAAAAACGCACCCCTTATATGAAGCAAATATATTCAGCATTCCTGTGAGTCCCTGACAAAACATAACATGCAATGAGCATACAAAAGCGTTATTTTTCGACACAAATATTACACAATTGCAAATGACGCGACTATTTACGACATAAAGAATTTAATGTCAATTGGATTTTACATTTAACATTGAAGTTTCATAAGTGGGATTGTAGTGTGTCTCACATTGACACTGTCTGGGTATTGTTGAACTTACGTATTCATGAATCTGATCCAACTTGTACTGAGAGTACTGGTCTATGATACACTGGGCACGCTCTCTGAAGGCTTGAATTGTGTGGTCGTCCCACCATTGTTTGATGTTCCCGTACTTGTCATACTGACGACCTAGATAAATAGGTGTATGTTTGGTGAGCTTAGAGCAAATTGATCAGTATCTGCACTCCTATCTAGCAGTCATAAGAAAGTCTTTTCATACCTCTACAAGTAAAACTGCCGACATCTGTGGCTTAGGCGTTGCAAACGCGCTTCGATATTCTGAAGTACCTGGTCTGATTTTCGCTGCGAGCGAATTGGGAGCAGACCGCCTTGTATGGATGTCGACATGTGTATTAATAGCCGACAGTTCAGTAAGAAAGGCAAACTTCTGAATGTAATATTGCCTAGTAAAAAAACAAACAGCCAGCCAATGCTGATATTGGTTTTGATTGGTTCTGCAGAGGATACACAACGAGGTCACGTATAATATATATCTAAAGTTAAGGATGTCATTACATAGTGCTACAGCCGAACAGTATGTCTTATCAAAAGCAGTCAACATGATACCAGATAATGCAAATGTTTCCAGATACATTGTTAAATGTAAATCCTCCACAGCAAGTTGCTGATCAAACCTCATAGTTTATTGACTGTTCGTTGTTTACCGATCCGTTTTACGTTCAGTAGTTTGCCGTTGTTGACAGAGGTCGGCCCTCCATACCACTGTCGAAATCAACCCCAAATGTGCTTCAGCCAAACTGCCCGCAGCTGTAATGGAACCGGGTAACTGGATTTGCTGATATTACGAGGGATATTGCAAAATCAACCTTCGACTGACTGGTTTTTAAAAAAAAAGTTTACCAAAGCGGTACCGTTCATTGCTTGCATCATTCAGTAGCCATTTAGCTTACCACATACCAATCTACAGTCGCATTTGTTAAGGGCAGATTGCTAAAGTTAAATTCCACAAAGTTGCATATGCTGAATTAACACTTGATTGTGCGAGGAACTGGCTACTGGCGGTCGAACTGCCTGGTTGTGAAAAGTACCGATAATTAATCCGAAAGCCCAGCCTGCGACCAGACATGATCCTGCACTGTGCAGAAAAAAGCCAGCACATCCTGATAGAGCTTAGCGTGCTAGACAAGTCGCGGATAAAAAAAAATCACTGGTACAAGCTCGAAAATACTGTGAATTGTTGGCCGGTCTAAGGAGGGTTGAGGCCTACACAGTAAAACTCTTCGCCGTCGAGGTAGGCGCAATAGGACCCATCTCAGCCTCTACAAACAATGTAGTAAAGCACCTGGACTTGCCAGCAAAAGAACAGAAACGGTCACTAAAACATTTAGGTGAAGCAGCCGAAAGGGTTCTAGCTGGCTGATGATACAAAAGAACGTGGGGGATAGACCTCGGTAGACTAGTAAAAGATCCTAGCGGAAAAGAACGTTACATCACTTTAAAGCCAAAGTGTCCGATTCAAGTTGGCCAGTGTCCCTCCGCCAACTGCCAAACTCTACCATCTGTCCGATGAATCAATCGTAAGCTTGTCACGCTGACTGTGAAAGTAAGCGCATAATTTGCTACAGCAGCGACAATATAAAACACTAAAGCTCACAATACCTATTGTAGAGCCACCATTTCGTCTTGTCCGAAGTCAATTAAGCGCATAAGGAGAAGTCCGTGGCCTGGCTTCATGAATTAGGTCGGCCCACCCTCTGAAATTGTCTAGGAGGATATTGGGCCTAAACGATAGTCGACGAGGGACCCACTTTTTGATAGACTCTTGCAATACATGCTCCTTGTGGAGTTCGTCTTCTTCTAATTAATATTTTAGTGGTTCACGAAACACAAGTGAACCACATAGACACTGCCATTGCCTGTCCCGCCAGCTGTAACATTCGAGGTATGATTCGTTTTCTTCAAGCAGGTGGTCAAGATGCTTAGAAAAGATTTCTAAATAAATTCCCCAGTTCACAGTGTCACCACATTAACTCAACTTAGTAGCTGGGCGAGGAAACTTTATGCTTCAAGTCTAAATATAGGGTCACTACACGGCATTTTTTTCTAATTTATGACAAAAATATCACTTTTTCAATATGTTCATTTTTGTAATGTTCGGCATTCGTAGAATAGATTACACACAAAATTTGTGTCATTGGTAAACAATTTAGCATTGAAAAGTTAATACTAAAGACACCAACCTATGCACTTTTTTTAAGATAAAAAAAGTTTAAAAGTCACTTTTCTAACAATTCTATTTTTCTGTTTGTGTGGGATCTCCTAAAATCTCAACTAATATAGAGACTAGAGACATAAAATTTGGTGTGGATACTCCTAACACAATATTATAAGGTCAGGTCTATTTGAAATGATAGTTTATTAATTACTTTTTTTTAAAATTTGATTATTATCTTAAAAAGCGACATTTTTGTAGTTTTTCAACATACCTAAATTGTAATAGTCTAAAAAAATATTTAGAAACATCTTTAAAGTAAATAAACTAGACCTGACCCTACACATAGGTTTAAGATTCATGAATCGATCATTTGTTTCTCAATACCTCTGTTTGTTTTTAAAATTTTAGCTATCTAAGTACATGTTTTTTTTTAAAATCAAAATGGCGGTTGTTGCCATGGCAACCATGTTTTTTTTCACACTTGAAGTCTACAAATGTATCAACATACATCCCTACAAATGACCATTATAAAATAATTGGTCTAACATTGTAAGTAAAAAAAATTGTTTTTCCTGTAGTGACCCCTTAAAATCAGCAAATCTGTGCCATACATTGTATTGAAAGGAAGCATACTAAAAACCATACGTGTACATACAAAACACATAAAGCAACACGGTAACTTCACACCAATCATCACCTACCTACCTTTATCATCAAAGCCGTGAGTTATTTCATGCCCAATGACTACACCAATGCCTCCGTAGTTCAGAGATCTGAATTTGAATTTGAATGTATAAAATCATGAAACATGAATGAAATATTTAATGTTAGTGTGCGTACCATAACTGATACCCGTCTACGGTCCGACTAGTATGGGCGGTGACAGGAAAGTAAGCTATATCACATCTTCACAAGTACTATCACAACCTTGATCAAGGACGATATTCTACCTGCTCGGGCCAGCTCTTTATTTATCGATGATAGCTGTCTTTGAAAGCCCTGCTACTCTATGCTTCCAAAGGTAAGTGTTGTTGTTTAATTGTGTAGTATTGTCTAATCTACAGTATGTGCTGGAAAAAACTCCATAGCCTCAACGTTCACGTTTTGTTTGTGTTTTTTATATTGTAAAGCTCACTGATATACCTTTCGTTCCGTTTTATATCTTTCCATGATATCTCCACAATCATTCGTTTGAATGATAAGTTAGTGAATGATATTATATTATAAACGAATGAAAAGGTATGCATGTGTGTGTATGTGTGTGTATGTGTGTGTGTGTGTGTGTGTGTGTGTGTGTGTGTATTTGCGTTCTGAGTGCGTATGTGAGTAGCCGTGGCGGAGCTGCTAGACGCTCGCATGCGGATAGTAAGGTCTTGGGTTCGCTCCCTGGCGGAGCCGGACTTTTGTTCATAAATGACTTTAGCTCCGATGTCCACCCAGCCTTGAGTGGGTACCTGGTGTAGCCTTGGGAAGTAAAGGTGGCCGGCGTGATGGTGACCATAACCCATCTTGTGCCGATTGGTCTTAAAAATGTAGGTCTAGCCCTATATGTCCCATACGCCTAAAGGCATGGAAAGGGGCCGTTTACTTTACTTACTTTTTAAAGTGCGTATGTGAGTTTATACCTACGTGGTGAAGGCTGCCGCGGTAATACAATCATTAGCATTAGTCACAGTATATTAACTAGTAAGAGTAGGAGTAACTGTGGTGATAGTGGTATACATTATATTACTGTGGTAGCACAATGCTGTGGTAATAAAATAGGTATTATGTGTTGTAATAGTAGTGACTGTGTTGGAATAAGTAGAGATATTATATTTATTGTTAGTTGGTGTAGTAGAAATAGCAACAAGCCTGTCAGTAGTAGAAGCAGTAGCTGTCCTCGTATTACAATAAAATACAGTTGAAGGGAGGGGTGCTGCCTCTGCTTTGAAGTCGATGTAAGCTTTTGCGCGTGTCTGTGTTGTTCTAAAGGTTGTAGATTCACCCACATCCTTTTTTGTGTATGGATTCAAAGAAAGAGAAATTTATTGGCATTCATGAGTATCAGCAGTTACAAGAGAGAAGATGGCACCATATCTGACACATTATGAGAAGAGGCGAACAGAGAATCAACAAACAGGCGCTGACATGGAAAATAGAGGGATTGAGGAAACGAGGACTGCTGAGAGAAATCCCAAGGCGACCGTTGATGAGAGAAGCCAAGCCTGCTGGATTGATTCCTTCATGACATGGAAGGGATTGCGCAGTATACAATGGAGTGAAGAAATAGACTGAAGGCCCAGTGTGACATACAATGGCACAACATGACAAGGAATGAATGAATAAGACAAGCCATCTGTGAACACATGTCTAAATATTGGAGGGATAACAAGTCCTAAGTATTCAGAGGGCTCTTTGGAGATTTCTCTTGGGACTTCCAGAGCTGTATTGGATACGTCTGTCTTGACAGCTAATCCATAGTTTTAGTGTGACAGATTTAGACATAATTCTGTCAGCTTGTATATTTGCATGTTGTGGCAAATTTGCTCCTGCAAGAGATGTATACATGTACTTGTTATTAAAATTGTTTTATTTTAATTCTCTCTTAGAATGTATAGTCAGGAAACGATCTGAAAGCTTTTCGAACTTTCGAAACTAAGTGAGGGCTTTGTACTGCTTAAAAACCCACATGGCTTCAAAACTAAATATGTCTTAATTATGTTTTTAAAGACTGTATGTGACGCAATATTTTTAACTTCTTATTACTTTCCGAAGTTTGTTTTCGACGTTTTACCCTACCGCAGTGATGACGTTTCACATCACCGCAGTGATTTCAGAATTTTGCTTGTTTAAAAACTTCTTTGTTTAACAAAGAAACTAAGAATTATGTTTACTATGCACTAAGCCCAAACAGTAAAATCGTGTTGAATTAAAAATTGACAGAAAAACTAGTCCTGGCCTAAGGTTACCTAATATTACCAACCAGTCCACCGGAGCAAACTGAGGTGTCAGAAATGTTACATCATCGCACACGTCTTCTGAATCTGCAACCAGGTAAGGGTAAAGTCCACACCACTTGACTAGTTTCTCAAACCCTTTATTGACACTGGTTAGAAGCAGATGGGATCCACTGTAGAGTGACACTGGGTAGGATCAGACGTGATCCACTGTAGATTGACACTGGGTAGGATAGGAAGGGATCCACTGTAGATTGACACTGGGTAGAAGCAGACGGGATCCACTGTAGAGTGACACTGGGTAGAGGCAGACGGGATCCACTGTAGATTTTCACTGGGTAGAAGCAGATGGGATCCACTGTAGATTGACACTGGGTAGAAGCAGATGGGATCCACGGTAGAAAGTTGAATCAGTAGGTGGGCAGTCATTAATTGATTGACAGCCACAAAGAAAGATAACTGTAGTGTGAGGGGATTCATGTTTATAAAATGGGACTTGAAAACTGATAGTTATTAAAATTAAATAATTTGACACTAGAATGTTCCAAACTTCAAAAAGCCATGTGCATTGATGTCCCCGTGTGCAGCCATGTGGTGCTGACTTTGATAGCCCACCACGTACTTATTGAAATGTATTTACCTACCCAGAGGATCGACAACCCAGGGGAAAACCAAGAGAAAAAAAAAGGATTAATTGTCACTGGAAATTAGATAGCCAAGACAGCCTGCGCTTGTAGAATGTTAGGTTTGCAGCACATACGCTGTAAATATCAAACATATTCGGCCGTGTTAAGCTGCTCAGAAAGATTCCATCTCATTTTTTTCTAACTTGCTAAGGAGACATTTCAAATTGTATCCAGCCGTTGGTACAGAAAGTTTCTTATTCAATAATACACGTTTTAAGTCAAAAATGGTAAAACTATGGGGGTGACTGCAGTCAAGCTAATACAATGAATTCCAGAGAAATTTGACTAAAAAGCTCAACAAAATGGGAAAAAGGAAAACGTGCACAAAACAACACAACGTAACGTTTCGGCCAGGCAGCCTTTTTCAAACACAAGTGGACTACACAAAAGAGGAATGGAGAGTATGTAGATCTCTAAGGGGTGACGTGAGCGACGTTTAAAAAATGGAGGAAGGATCTTTATATTGAGGAAGCCAGTACCCAACTCAGAAACCCCGTTTTCTATTCCGCAAGAAGGGACGACCCCACAGTCTCCAACAATAAGAAAGTCAAGGACACGTTACAATCATTTATTTCACAGGGTACTCTTCCTAAGCAGGCCAACAATATGCGTGTTTTTGACAGCCAACTTGGCAAACCGTGTATGTACTTGCTGCCTAAGATCCATAAGCCCAACAACCCTGGACGTCCCATTGTATCTGCATGCTCCTGTCCCACGGTGTATCTTTCTGAATTTTTAGATAGTATTTTCCAACCGATTGTCACCAGTCTCCCTTCATTTGTCAAGGACACCAACCATGCCCTCAACATTTTCGAATCCATCAGACTACTTCCCGGTAAAACCTATCATCTTTTCCTGATAGACGTATGCTCCCTCTATACGTCTATCCCTCACTCTGATGGTCTTAGAGCACTCCAGTTCTTTTTGGACAGAAGGTCCAACCCGATCATCCCTACTTCAGTTCTTGTACGCCTTGCCGAACTGGTACTGACCCTCAACTCTTTTGAGTTTAATGGTGAGTATTTTGACCAGATCAGTGGGGTTGCGATGGGCACCAAGATGGGTCCTAGTTACGCGTGCCTCTTTATGGGCCACCTGGAATACGAGGTCAGTTTTATCATACCCGGGCAAGTTTCCGGAGGTGTATAGGAGATACATAGATGATGGCGTTGGTATCACCGAAATGTCCATGGTTGAGCTTGACCAAATTTATTACTTACATCAACAATTTCAATCCGGCTATCAAATTCACCTCACTGATCTTCACCACTTCAGTTAACTTTCTTGACATCACGATTAGCATCGATTTCCCGTGTCTGAAAACCACAGCCTACTACAAACCCACGGATTCTCACAGTTATCTCCTCTATACGTCTTCTCACCCACTACCGTGTAAAAATTCTATTCCATATTCACAGCTCCTTCGATTGCGCAGGTTGTGCTCTGACGATTCTGACTTCTTTGATAAATCAGTTGAACTTCTTGAATTCTTCCGTGCCCGTTTCTATCCGGAACACATTCTTCAAGGGGCTCTAAACAAAGTTTTAGCAATCACCAGGAGAGATGCTTTTCCTACCAAACGTAACTCCACCAATGAGGGACCTAAATTGATCTTGACTTTTCACCCTAACAATGTGGTTGCTTCCAAAGTATTCTTTCGTCATTTGGACATCCTCCGCTCTGATCCGGACACCAAGATTATCTTTAGTGAGAAACCTAGATTAGTTTACAGACGAGATCGCAACCTTAAAGACATACTTGTCCGAAGCCGACTCCCACCGATCCATACAGCACTTCCTCTTGGGACTACTCAGTGCTCACGCAGCACCTGCAAAACATGTCCTTTCGTTGTCCAGACTTCTTCGGTCAGTTTCCCTAATGGTTCTTTTCAAATTAGGGAACCTTTTACTTGCGAATCCCGCAACGTAATTTATGCAATTATCTGCAAACGATGCAGCATGGCATACATTGGGGAGACTGGCAGGAAGCTAGCTGATCGTTTCCGGGAACACCTCTCTGATATCGACAAGAAGACACTCAAACCAATCCCTCTTCATTTTAATAGCCCTGACCACAGCGGTAAAGATGACATATCTGTCACAGCATTAAAATCTTGCTCTGGCGATCATAATACCCGCCTCGCTTTGGAAAATCGCCTTATCCACAGCCTTGGCGTTCTTAGTCCAAGAGGTATCAATATCCAACATACCTTCATCTAAATAGTTCTAATCTTATTACATTTTAAATGTTAATTATTTTATTTTATTTCATATTATTACCATATTATATTTCTTATCAATATCATTTATGTATCATTAACACTTGCATTTCTTTTATTCCCAGTATTGTGACTATATTTTTTAGCCATCGTTTATTTTATTTTATTTCATTTATTCCGCATCACATTTTTTAAACGTCGCTCACGTCACCCCTTAGAGATCTACATACTCTCCATTCCTCTTTTGTGTAGTCCACTTGTGTTTGAAAAAGGCTGCCTGGCCGAAACGTTACGTTGTGTTGTTTTGTGCACGTTTTCCTTTTTCCCATTTTGTTGAGCTTTTTAGTCAAATTTCTCTGGAATTCACGTTTTAAGTCAGCTCTGCTTTAGGAAGTGACAGCTCATATTTTCCTTTCACACTGTGATGAAGGTTTGAGAAAGGGCATTTTATAACAATACTCTGTCTGTCTGTCTGTCTGTCTGTCTGTCTGTCTGTCTGTCTGTCTGTCTGTCTGTCTGTCTGTCTGTCTGTCTGTCTGTCTGTCTGTCTGTCTGTCTGTCTGTCTGTCTGTCTGTCTGTCTGTCTGTCTGTCTGTCTGTCTGTCTGTCTGTCTGTCTGTCTGTCTGTCTGTCTGTCTGTCTGTCTGTCTGTCTGTCTGTCTGTCTGTCTGTCTGTCTGTCCTGTCTGTCTGTCTGTCTGTCTGTCTGTCTGTCTGTCTGTCTGTCTGTACCGCTAATTTATTTTAATGCAATGCTCTCCAAGTGCACTTTAGGCTCCTACTGCTCCCTGAACCTCATCACTCCCCCCCCCCCCCCCCCAGCAAAAATGTGCTTGAGGCATCTACCGTCTTCAGTCGACTAAACCTACTGCCCACAATGGTTGTTTGCGCCTAGTTTGGGAAACAGTGTTCTAGGTAGTGCATAAACAAGAAAGTCTTACTTTGGAAATACGGAACTGTAAAACAGAGGTTGCAGTATACCAGCTGGAAACACTGAAATAAAGTATGTTGTAGAAGTTAAAAAAAAAAACACTTCTTTAAATAGGTGAAATAATGAGCTAGATTTAGCGATAAGACTAATGAAATCAACACAACATCGAGGAAAGTAACCAAGGTGAACATACTTCTGATTTCCTTCAGTAAACATAATTGTTTTCTAGATAAACCAACTTTTACTGGTTAATTTGAATGGTCTCGTTTTTATGTTCACATGACAGATAAATTTATGAAACCTGAGTCTGATTTCTAGTTCTGTTACACCGTATATTACCGTGGTCAACTGTGATTATGGGTATATACGCCTATATGTTATAGACTGACGGCACTCAACGGTCAACATCATGTCGGCCCCCTTAACTTTCCATGACTTTACCTGGTACCCACTTAAAACTGGGTCGACCTGGGAGCCAAGTTCATTTTTGAAAAAGTCCGACCCGGCCAGAACCAGAAGTCACCACCTTCCGGTGAGCGTCTATCTGCGGTACCACGGCAGCTTCCCTTTTGGGTATGTTCCTATAGTTCAATGTTAACCACTGAGTTAATGAAAGAAGTTATGTTTGTTTGGCTGGTCTGTGTGAACATTAAAATGTCTGCTTTATCAAGGTATGCCAAAGGTATGTGGTTAAGATGAAAACGATCTATACAGAGTTATGGCTATCTAAATTATAATGTCTGTAAATACTTGAGTGTCTAACAGTATAAAATCTGTAGAGATACGTGATACAACAATGTTAGTGGATACTTGCGATACTGTGAAAAAAACAACTGTTCCCATTTGACCAAATGTGAATTATATAACAGGACTGGCAACTGAAGGATAATTTAAAAACACCAAGAATAATATGAATATTTCTGGCATATAATGTAGTTTCAAGAGTTCCCTATATTAAAAGTACTAATTATTAGTTTAATATTCTTTCTTGCTCTTAAAAATAACATTATTAGAACAATGAAGCGTATGATAACTTACGTATGTTGTTGGTGTTGGGGTTATAAAATGCGTTCACCACAACTGGATCCTGTTCATATCTGTTGACAGATATGCATTGTCAGTTCACACACAGGAAATTGAAGATGCTTTCCAGAAAAAATATAAACTGCAGGCTATTTTCTTCGACCTGATAAGGTCTGGAAGAAAGGACTCTTGCCAAAACTAGCACACAGTGGTATAAAAGTTCATATGTTTGTCTGGATTAGAGACTTTACAAACCCTGCTAAATTCAGACAGAAAGAACACAAGAGCAAGCTAACCAGGTTACAAAAAGGTGTCCCCCAGGTAGGTGTTTTATTTCCTACCCTGTTTATTCTTTCATCAATAACCTCCCAAAACAGCTCATGACTCACATTCACAAGGCCCACCTCCCAAAACAGCTCATGACTCACATTCACAAGGCCCATCATGTAGCTGACCTGACCAGATGGACCGAAGCTGAACATATAGGAACAATTAAAACACGAATGCGGGAAGCTATAAATACAGTTAAGAAATGGACACACTCTTGGGGAGTCACAATAAACCAGACCAAAACCGTCTCAACTCTCTTTCTACAAAGCCAGAACAAGTTGATGTCTGCCTAAAAGGCAACACACTTTGAAAAGAGGATAACCCAACATATTTGGGAGTAAAATTTGACAAATCGATAACCTGGGGCTCCGACATTAAAGACACCCCAAGGAAAGCTACCATGCGGATAAGGCTTATAAGGAAACTTACTGGAACAAGCTGGGGTGGATGGAGATGCCAACATTGTACGACAACTATACAAAGGATACGTACAGCCAAAACTGAAATATGGCATTGGAGCATACTTCACTGCAGCCAAATCAAACCTACAAAAACTGAACAAAATACACAACACCGGTCTCAGAATCATCACTGGAGGTATGAGAAGCCTCATGAGAAGGTATGTGCTTGAGGCAACTTCTGGCCTCCAGAGCTTGAGCATTCAGAGAAAAGAATAAGTGCTTACCCTAACAGAAACTTTTAAATGCATGATTACTTTCTATTCAATGCTACAGTCGTGTTAGTCGACCCCTGCCTCTTCTTCTATGAACAATAATCTCCTAATACTGTTCTGTCTAAAATGTTATAGTGTTTAAAATGGACGAAATATTTAAGTTTTCTACAAACCGCATTGTTGATGGGCCAGATCTTCTCCATACTGGGTATGTAAAACCCGTGTCCAATTACAGATTAAGCGTAGGTTGACTGCTTGTAGAATGGCTGTCATATTGTTTCAGATGGGTTTTAACTGGTGGAACAGTTCCCTTGAATTATAAGCCTGCTAATTCTATATAAATATATATTAAAGTCGCTGTTTGCGCTTTAAAAAAAAAAAAAAGATAAAAAAAAAAACTATTTAGCAGTGTTTTGAAAACCGCTCTCAAATTTAAAGAAATATTGCACGTATTGCTATACTATTGGCTTTTTGTACTTATCAGTGGTTTTCCTTTATTTAAGATGCGTGTTTGATACACTATATCGTGATTTTTTACACCTGCCTTTGCGTTAGTGGAAAAAAAAAAAAGTCATATTTATAATTTACTTCTTCTTTCTTCTTTTGTCAAAATCTGCTTGTGCCGCTAGGCGTCGCAGTCTGTCAGATGATCGGCAACCCAGCCAGGGCGCGCTCAGTCGCTTCATATGCCGTGATGTTATGAAGTCTCAAGTTGTCCGTGACTCCTTCAATCCATCTTCTTCTTGGTCTTCCCCTGCCTCTTGTTGTTTCGATTTTCATGTTGTATGCTCTTGATGCTGGCATCGTTGGTTCCATTCTCATTAAGTGACCAAACCATTTCATTCTTTGCTTCTCAATTAATTTAACGATGGGTATGGTTCCAATAGTTCTTGTAATCACATCGTTTCTCACTCGATCTCTTCTGGTTTTATTCGCAGCCATTCTCAAACATCTCATTTCACATGTGGTTAGTCTTCTCTCATGTTCTTTTGTTAATGTCCAAGTCTGACATTGATAACCTAATGTCGGTATAAAGATTGTATTTATAATTTGTCTTTTTATCTCAGCTGGGACAGCAGGGTGTTTTAAAATTGGGGCAAGCTGGTATGCGACATTGTTGGCTTGTTGGATTCTTGCTTCAATCTCTCTGTCTATTTTACCATTGGATGTAAAGATACTTCCCAGGTATTTAAATTCTTGCACTTGTTTTAGGCTGTGATCTAGAATCTTTATGTCGATGGTCTGTTGCTCTCTACTTATGCTCATGGCTTCTGTCTTTTCAGTATTGATCTTCATATGATGCTTGAGGCAACTGTCGTGTAGTAGGTTCATGTGGTCTTGCAGCTGTTTACTATCACTGTGAAATATGCATTGATCGTCGGCAAAGAGCAGCTCATTGAAGTCCTCCTGTTTATCGACATCTGTTGGTGTTATGTCTATTTTATTAATATTGTCCATAAATATTATGAAAAGTAAAGGTGATAATACACAACCTTGTTATAATTTACTAGCCTCTCAAAAAAGTAGTTTCGTTACTTCTTATTAACTAACTGTATACTATTAGTATGTTGTAGCAATAACGTAAATATTATTAATTATATTATTTGTAATATGTGTATGTTGCATAAAATGTTGTTGTATGGTCTGTGTTTATGTGCTGAACTTGCTAAAAGTCAAAATCTTATGACCCCTGATTTAAGACAAACTAAATGAAAATCTTCTTTTAACCCCCCCCCCCCCCCCCCCCCAACAACAAAAAAAAAAAAAAAAAAAAAAAAAAAAAAAAAATTCTACTTAATATTTACAAGAAACTGACAGCAACATAATTTCTCTATAGTTCTCACACTCCTGTACATCACCTTTTTTGAACAGTTTCACAAGATATCATCTTGCATGGAAATGCAGATTTTTAAACAACAACCAACCCCCCCCCCCCCCCCCCCCCCAAAAAAAAAAAAAGATGTTACAACAATACATGCTTTTGTTTTTTTATTTAAACAGACAGAAAGTCCCTCTGGCTTTGTCAGTTTTTAGTGAATACAGTGTCGCTGCTCTATGTTTATTGGGCAGTATGAAATAACCTGCAGTAGTTTTAAGGTAAGACAGAATACGAAATCACGAAAGTATACGAATGCTAGGAATAAAGCCAGTCTTTCAGGTCATCCAAGAACAACAAATGAAGTGGTTTTTACACCTAACAAGAATGCCCTGGTACCATCTGCCACAGCGAGCCACACTAAAACGTTACAACGGGTATAGAGCGAGTGGAAGACCTTAGAAAATATGGAGTGATGGCATTAAGAACAGCCTTACAGAAATAAACATCAGTCTTAATAGTGCTCTTGTGAGAGCCCATCAACGAACATTACATCTCCCAACGACACTTGGATAAGGTACAAGGTGAAAGTGAAGAAGAAGAATGAAATAACCGATTTTTACAAAGGGCATCCATAGATGGTGGTATGTTGTTAATGTGAAAAGTAAATTTGTAGATAATAAAATATTGAAGTCATTCTCCAATCCTTTATTGTGAAATAATGACGAACTGGTACATTATTTCGAGAAGTTCACTGGAAAGCTATACAAGTGGGACAGGCTAACCGGCTGTAAAGAAAAACTGATCAAGGAAACACATTGTGCCCTGCTTCATTCAGTGACTGCAAGGCTTTCATTAATATATATATATATATATATATATATATATATATATATATATATATATATATATATATATATATATATATATATATAAGTTTCCAAGCACAGACGCAAATTTTTGTACTTTTTGGAAAGTTACAAACTGATAACTTAGAAGATCAGTTATCAGGGGCAAACAATTTGGTACATGTTCTGCAAGTTTTAGAAGCGGAAATGAAACTCAAAATTTACACAAGCATGTCCTCACTAACTTACTGATATGTTCCTATCATCTCTCAGAGTTTCTTAGCTGCAATAAGGGGGAGAATAGTGATGATATAACTACTGATGCTGTTTAGTCGGATGTGAACAAATTATTTTGTCCAAATAAACCCCAGTGACTGTGAATTGTTGGTTTCGGAAGAAGAGTCACTGGTGTACATTTCTTGATGTGTCTCCAATAAGTTGAACAGAAACAAACTAAATGTGCTGCACTGAAGGCTTTTTTTCCAGCAGATGGTCATTGGTTGCTATGTCCACAGACCACTTACAGCTGCTTGACTGTGGACATTTAAAATGCCCTTACAAGTTTATAATTGTACTGGCTTTGGTAGCATATGCAGCTGTACAGAACTGATATCAGCTGAGTCGGAAACACATATTCTAACATCCATACATCACACACACAATTTGATTAAACACAGTTTCATGCAGTTTGTGTGCAAAAGAATTATTTTTCAAAATTACTTGACATATGTGAATTTTAGGGATCCTTCATATATGTGTGGATATTATTGATGTACTTGACGTACGTGAATAATAGCTGGATATTACACCAGCGCAATTAAACTAATTAGGATGTATGCTTAGTTATATTTACTCACTTTATTTTGTGTATCATGCAGACACGATCTAATATGTCAACAGTTAAAACAAAAATGATACTTGACGTGTCTGTAAAGATACTATATCTGTCAAAAGCTTATCAAAAATACGTATCAGTTACCTAACTGGACGATGTTCACTTTGGAAATATCAGTAAATAAAAAATAAAAAAATAGATTTCTCAAATTCACCGTGCAACTAACCGTACACTATTCGCCTGCGGTTGCGACGTCACTGTCCGGTGACCTGGCTAGCGCCGTGACTTATAATTAGAGTTGGCCTTGGGGTCGATATGGGAGCCTAGGTCAATGTTACGACGGGCAGGGTGTACCCCACTCGCCCGGAGTTGCCCATGAAATTGACTGCGGAGGCGCACGTTTGATGATTTCCGAGGAAGAGCATTCCAAGATCAGGTTTTCACCTGCGAGCGACAAGGTGTCGTGGTGCAAGTTAGAAGGTAAATTATGTGAGAATCTAATTCATGATTTAAAAAAGAAATCGCTAGGTGATAAACTTACAAAGTTTGGTAATGTAATATACGAGCACTGT